ATTTCGATACATTGAACAAGAAAAGTTATTGAGCAGTCAGAAAACCGTTGGCCAGTTTCGAATGGTCAGTTGAATAGAAAACACTTACTATTGAAATACTCCTCCATAAAAGACCGCAACTCTCACACGTGGAACGATTGCCTTTCGTGGGCTCAATGATGTCAACAAACGTGTATCAGTTGCTTTCGATGGAGAGATGAAAGAAAGAGAACTTCCTCATCTGTCACAGGTATCAAGGCCCCAGCCGTCCTTCTTGGCGGTCCCAGGCCGCCCGCTGGATGGCCTCCCATTTGCACTCCTGTATTGTAAATCATTATAAAACATAAAGATTAATTAAGCAGTGTGGCCATCGGCCCGATCGGCCTTAGGTTGGAGGCCATCGCTATTAGGTTGGAGGCCATTGTAATAATTAACCTGAATGACCGTGTCTTATTCTCTTTTGGTCTTGCTGTACGGGACCCGTAGTTTAAATAGAAAGGTGTTTCTCAGCTAGCGCCAGGTAACAACAAGAACTTCGCCGAATCCACCATATATTGCACGGAACTTCCACCTGCACTGCCTTTCACTTTCAAGTTAGGTAGATAGATTTCACGACATAGGAAGCCAAAAGCGCAACAGGTGGCACTTCCATACAAAGTCAACAATGAAAATCGCAGGGATCCCACATTAATGCGCCTCTTTTTTTGGCTGGTACCAGGTCGGTCTTTCTCTCTCCCCTGAGCAGGTCTAAGATTCTCAGAACTATCAAACTATAGTTAGTTCATTGCAATATGCCCCGTTTGCAAGGGAACCTGTCACGCAGCTCTGTGATGTCTTCCATGACTGCCAAGTCTCAGCTCAATAGTAAGCAGTAAGCCAAAAGATTGATTACAAGGAGGCTCTGCTGCCAGTCGTAACGAAACTACTGCTCACAGTGGCTGCTGGGCTGCATTTTGTGGCGCCGGTCAATGCGCCCAAAAGAGGGCGGCCTGCAATAGTCTAATCGGCCACCGAAAAGGGACCTGTACAAACGCATGTCGAATCCCAAGCGGACGTGGCACGAATTATTCAGATCGTGTCTGCAAGGCGCATTTCAGCAGCTCGTCAAGACTGTCTTCTTGAAGCACAGGACTCACACTGTTGCAAACACATGTGACACCTGAAGTTGGACCTGAAGGTGATGAGTTGAGTCACGAGAACAGCTCTTTGTTTGACAGTGTTGGGCCCACTCTTCGTAAAACAGACGCGCTCTTGAGAGAGCTGAAAGTCTTTGGCATCTCTTTGGATGGAACAGCAACTTTTTGCTGCTTTTCGCGTCAATGCTTAAACGGCTTAAAGAGCTTAAAGAATTGAGTTTCTGAGTCTGAGCATTGCAGTGGAGCCTGTAGTGTGCTATGATACTACATGCAGTGTTTAAGCCTTTAAGCGAGAAGTAAAATTGCCCCCCAGAATCCTAAAGCATGTCAGAGCTGGACTTTAAACATGCCTGCTCAAGCCTTTGTACAAACTGCTTCAGGGAGGAGCGATCAACACTCCAGACTCCTCTGGCTAAGAATGAAGGTCCAATGGTCTAAGTTCCTGCAGCAGTGCAATTGTAATTGGGGAAACCACACAATCTTCGCTGCCAGAGCAAGTGAACATTCGGGTCAAATGACCACTAATTTAGGAATAAGCGATGGATTCTCGAGTGCTTGGCACGGACATCATTATCATCATATACTAATACTATCCAATATATACTAATATAATCTAATATACGATCTATCTTACGTCTTCCCGAACGTAGACCTCGCAAACCCTGGCAAATGTTGGCATCAGTTCCTTCAATGCGCGTGGCTCTTTGAAGCTGCCCAGGACCTGTCACGACTTTGACTTCTTTGACTCCGGACTCAGCCGCCGCTGAATCGAGGACAACTAACGGATCCCGCGAATCCAGAAAAAAAAACAAGGCATCCTGTACCTGTTAGTCTTTCTTGTCTTCCTTCCTTCCCTTCGCAAACGGCACAGGACAGGCTAAATGTCCGATTCCAGAATAGAAGGCACTGGCTATGCCTCCACATCCATTTGTCAGGTCGTCCCTGTCCCTATTGCTGTCGTGCCAGTAAGGTGTCTGCGTTCCGGCCGGCCCAAATGCAGAGGGTTCCCATCCAATCCACGATTGCTCCTCAATCCTATCCAAACTAGTATCACACACATTATAAGACTAGGCAGTCGGCCTTGCTAGAGGTGAGTCTGGCAGAATCTACAAAATTACACCACCGTAGACCCCAAACAGGTGGGGCAACAACGAAGCATTCCCAAGTCCACTTTTTGAGACATCAACAAGAAGGGAGACAAGAAGGGAGACAAGAAGGGAGACAAAAGGAACCAGAAGGGAGACAAGACGGACACAATGACCAACAAGAAGGAAGACAAGAAGGGAGACAAAAGGAAACAGAAGGGAGACAAGACGGACACAATGACCAACAAGAAGGGAGACAAGACCGGAGACAAAGGGAAGACAAGACGGGAG